AAATATTCTCACATATCGTTGCTTTGAGAAGTGAAGGTTTTTTACGAACAAAGATACAGATTTCAGCTCCATTTACACAAGAAAGCTTCAGTTAAGATGGGATCTATATTGAGGCCATGGCTGTATTCATACCGAGCAGCATGTACGCTAGAAAAGGGAAAAGAAGAGGGATGGGAGGATGTTGACCATTAAAAGATAGAAGATATTCTATAGGAATCCAACAAACCCTCTCATCTCAATGCCTTTTATGCCATAATCTTGCAACACCCATACGTTTAACGCGATGAACCTCTTGGTAGACATCAGCTGTGAACCCGGCGCAGGAGGATTTCGTGTTTTTGAAAAAATTTCGGTATGATAACTGCTGTAATTCGCGCTCCGAAAGTTATCATAAGAATGCTGAGTTATGAGCAGAAGACAGAACCCATGCGGGACCCAAAACCCCTAACAGAGCACTAGAAGATCAAGTAAAAGGTCCTCCTCCGTCAAAACTCCAAAATACAAAGCGTATAACTTACAAAATCACTCTTCTTGGCATCCTCGATATCACCCTCCTCCATTTCCTTATTTCCTTGCTTAATTGATAGAAAATAGGGAATATTGAGACGGGGCCGTCGATTTCCAATCGGTAAAAGAGAAAGGACGAATGAAAACAACGGCTTCAAAAGAGCAGCGAGTGCAACGCAGCCTTAAAAATAAAGGTGATATTTCAAACGCGACGAATCCGCATTAATGAAGTACCTTCATAGCAAATTAAAATAAGAAGAAGTTTCATCACATGAGCTTTTGTAATCGTAGGAATATATTCTAGGTAAGGATGAACACCTTCCGGAAGCCTGCTAGCAAGCCTGAAGAATGCAGGTTATCAAAACGAAGTGAAATCTTTTGAGAACGTAGATTGTCCTAATGTAGAAATTCAATTCTGAAACAAAAGCGCGGCAGTTCGACGACGGGGGGATGGCGGGAGTGGGTATTTGGCACCTTTTTTACTTTTCATCGACGTGTCGTCCCATCTGGAGAACCATTTCGTGAGCTCGCAGGATTGACAGGCTTTACCCCTGGCTCGATGAGCTTGCTCCAGCTTCACAAGAGTTCACAGGTTTCACCAGAGTGAGACTTGTAAACCGAACTAGTGAAGCAGCGAAAAAGCAAATGCCCTCTTCCCCCCCCCCCCCTCCATCGCCGAACTGCGCTTAAAAGCACAAAACTGTTAATTGACGCCAACCACGACAATAATTTACAAGACTCTGAATTCTCGAATGTTAATCGTACCGCGCAAAAAGGCTCGGACCTTCACTTTTTGCAAGTGTGTTGTTAAGCATAGCAGAATATGTCGCGGGAAGATGCCTTCCCCCAAGACCCATAAGCCACTCGCGTCCATCTGGCCTGCAACAACAACCGCATCAAACAAATAAAAATGTTATTAAATTTCCGACGAAAAGTACCACACGAGCGTGGCAAGTCTCCCGGACGGGTCATTGGTTTTCGCCTTTCACCGTGATCGTTAGAATCGTACTGAGGCCTCTTTCAATAAGAATGAGCAACCTAGAAAAGATTTATCGGTCGTTCCACCACCTTCTCATTTCGAAGATGCCGCAGAACCCTTTTAATTCCGACACTTTTCAGTAACGCATTCGAAATTCGCCTGGCCCAATAACATCCGTTGAAATTCACTGATTTGGAAATTCTGTTACAACGGTATTAAAGGATTACTCTGTTAGCATGCTTACCAGTCCCGCAGTGACATATGTCACTTGCGGGTTATGACCTGACCATTCAGGAGACCTGCTCGATTGCGAAGTACAACTAGAAGCAATCAAATGAATCGACTCACTTGAAGAACACATAAAGCGTGAAAAGCACAAGCGAAGCCGTAAAGGGGAACTTTTTCGCTTCAGACATTGATATCGATGCCTAAAATAGAATAGTGGACGTTGAAAAAAGAAATACATTAGCAAAAAAAAGAAAGAAAACTGAAACCTCTAGGGGACGTTTTTTGACGATTTGTCTCCTGACAAAATTAGCGGACCGTATACCACCAATAATGATACATAACAAAGACATTGCATATAGCGAGCATGAAGACATCGCCTAAAACTCACTAGTCAAAGAAGTACGTTCATACTGAAAGGCCTGAAGAAAGTATTTGTTGCATCAGCGAATGAGTCATTTTTTAAGTCAAGCGATCTTGTGAGGACTGTTAGACCGAAGGGGTTACCCAGGGTCTCACGGAATTGAAACGAAAATGGAGCCCTAACCTGATGGCCTGACTTCTTCATGAAAGTTCTACGCGAAGGACTGAAAGGACTCGTACACGAAAAAAACACTTCACTACACTGGCGACAGGGGCGAATGGAGACATGAGGCAGCATTCAGACTTCGCGCGAAGATGACGCGCGTCAACTCTCCACAATTGCAACAGCTCTCCAATCCTATAGACGCAAAAGCAGCCCAGGGAATCGATCGCCACCGACAGATGTGTTTCGATAGAGTATTGATTAACAGCAAGATAGGCGTTGTCTTCACATAACCTGTACTCTCCCATCCTTCCATACTCTCCCTTAGCCCTAGCGGGCACTGTCGATAGCAGTGCGCGTGATCAGCGTACCGAGTACCCGCCTGACTCCCCGTACTCTCTCAATACATGAGCGCGTGGCAACTGTAGCACATTCCCGCACTTGTCGCTTGTCCTCGCGCGTCATCCCGAAGTCTGAGTGCACACATGCTACACTCACTGCTGAGAAATCTGATGATCAAACGGACAACAGGTGGTATAAATGATGCAGCAACACCTTCTGTATACTCGAACATAGGAGCAGCAGCAGCCCTGTCCAACATCTGATTCAATTTTTACATGTTTACTGAGAACCTTGTACGCCTCTATCGAACCCCTATCTATCAGAAGTAGGAAAACTGCTGGCCGCGATTTACCGTTTTTTCCTACATCTGGAGCTGCGCTTTCCAAACCTATGGGAACATTCAAAATAATGTCAGTGCCTTACCAATGGTAAAATTGAGAATCGTCATGACCTACGGCAGAATGTACCTCAGAAGACACCAGTGCCTGCACCCAGAATTTGATGGGAACGATGCGAGTTCATGGAGTTGATACCCTTGCCGTTTTTGCTTCTTTCATTGCGTCCGACTTATGAGATTAGCATGTACAGCACAAATAGCTGCTAAAGTGCATCCGTAGCGCCC